TAGCGATGCTATTTTTTCCGTCACAAAATTCGTCACAAAGATTAATTTTTCTAGTAGTGAAGTGGGAAGCTAGTGGTGGATAACCTTGTTGGCAATTTGGACATTTAGGCCATGTTGAAAATCCTAAATTGGTTTGGTTTGGTTCACCAAATGATGGTGAAGCCAAGCCAAATCAATTCCTTGGGTCAAGAGGAGAAAAACAAGCACAATATCAAACTTGGCCTAGAAACCCAAATTGCTATATATACCATATCACCTTTACTAGTTGCACCTCCACTACTAAAACTCAAAAAAAATGAAAATTGGTGACAAAAAATACAAGGTCAAAAGGAATACAAGTGTCCAAGAAGCATGCCCCAAAATCCTAAAGGCATGACCTACAAATAAAGAAACAAGTACCCCTAAAAATACAAGGGTGAAATAAGCCTATACAAGTAACTATTTACAAAGGAAAGTAAATCTAATTATACAAGATACATACAATGAAGAATAAAGGACTAAAGATAAGAAACAAACTTAGTGCTCATAAAGACTAAAGAGCATAGATCTAAGAAGCACTTCCTCTCTAGAAGTCTTTTCTAGCCTCCTAATCATAGACTTTATCAAAGGTCCAATGACCTTCACGGATGGTCCTCCATCAATAATTTATGTCACATTTTCACAATCAAAATTTAATCTTCCAAATTATTAAAAATTATGATTAAGTTGATAATTACTTAAACCTAATATTTTAAATTTCATATTTAGACCTTTTTCATTATTATTATTATCGTCATAAGGCACACTTAGCTTTAAGCGTGTTTTATATGTAACAATAGACATCAATGTCAAAGCCAACATGTGTGAATTAATGATTCGAAAGTTAAATACTTGTGAGCAAGAGATCCTTATAAAGTGGTTCCTTGGTAGAAAAAGTCGTTCTTGTTGTTTGAAGTGTCACATAGGATCGATGCTAAGTGATAAATGCATTTGAGTGTCGTGAGTCTTAGACTTGTGTAGTCTGAGTCTTTTTTTTTTTTTCATCGTACATTGGTGTGTGCTAGCTATGAGACATCTGTTGGCTGGCTCAACAAAATCCTTGTTTTAGGCTTTTTTCAAAAAAATATTTTATATTAATATTTTATATAATTTTTTAAAGATTTTATAACTTAAAAATCACTTTTTACATTTTAAAAAATTTACTTTAAAAGGTCTATCTTTAAAAGATATATAAATATAATTACTTTTTAATGACTCATCTCTAAAATATTTTTATTATTTTTATCAAAAGAAATTACTATTAATTTTTAATTAAAAAAATCTCACTTTAAGATTTATTTTAAATATAATAATATGTTGTGTCAACCTTCAACATATGTTGATGTTAGGGATTGAGAACTTAAAATCGCATGTAAATATAAATACCTAAAAGAGTGATTTTTAGGGTTACTTATGTAAAGGCAATATTGACCTATAAATTTGGAGGTTGAGGTGCCACCAGAACAATTTATACTCTTTGACTCTCCTTTGTTATGCCAATATTTTCATTACAATATTATTTCTTGATAGCTATAATTTCTTCGTCTTTTTATATCAATTGTTCGATAACAACACACTTTATTCGTCATCTAATTTATGACGAGTTTCAATAAAACATTTTAATTTAGGTGACTTTTCTATCCTCCCTCCTGTTAAAATATACAATGAATCAGATATTTAATTTATTTAATAATTTAATTTTGTTACATGCAATTCAAGACCTTCCTCATCTTGTATGCCCTTATAATGTTTTGAGTTTGACAGAATTATCATGAAGTATAATGATAAAATTAAATACTTTTAATTTTGTTATAGTAATATAAAAATTGATATATTTATCAATCATGAGTAAGTGGTATTTGTTAAGTGGACTTACTTATGAAATATTTATCGATCGTGAGAGTAAGTCGTCTTTGTTAAATAGATTTGTTATAATTGAAATCATATCTCTTATGTACGGATTCACATGAATATATTTTTTAATGCAAGTTTAATCCTACGATCGTGACTTTTACAGGAATTATATTTAACAATTACGACTTTCTTCCTCATGTTTGATAAATATTTCAAATTTTATATTACTTAATGAAATTAAAATACAAAGCGTGTTCCACGCGAAGGTGCCATGGCCAATCCCCTTTTCACAGGGGAATAGCAGAAATAGTGTACTATAAAAAGTTGAGCCTTCACATTAACTCTGATATAATCAAAAGTTGATTTTTACCAGTTTGATCTTGTATTTACGTGCATTTTGAGAAGAATTTGTAATTTCAATCCGATTTTGTGTTCTATATTCTCTTGAGATTTATAAGTTTTTAAACAAGTGGATTTGATTTGGAATTAATAAGAGGGTGATTGATACAAAGCCATTACAATAAAATTGATTATTACCAATAATTATTTAGTGGCAATAAATTAATTACTTTTATTTTATTATTTAATAAAAATATTAATGACTAATATATAATTGTACCTGTATAAGGATACACCAAATAGTCTTCCTGTGTTCTGAAGGCCGAACGAACGCTCCAATCCGATATGAGTGAAAGGGTTTGTACCTGCAAAAGGCACTCCAACGCTCAAGTCAGCACGGGCACAGAAATCTAGGGTAATTAATGAACAGTGACGTTACCTTTTGACCTGAGCTATTTATACTGACGATCGTGGGCCCTGGACCTTATGGGCCCTGTAAAAACTTACCGTATCAGGTAATACTTCTTAATCAGCTAATTAACCTTTAATGGTTT